CAACTACAAGACCCTATATCATCAAGGTGTGTCATTTTCTAATGGAACGACAAAATGATGAAAACGACTCCTTGAGCTCATTCGGGAGGGGGAGTGACAAAGGGGGAAGCACATCATAGTGTTGCTTGTTGACACTCATTGCAAATGGTGAAGCAAGTGCTGCTTGTTGATTGTTAAGACCTTCGACTATAAACGAGAAAGCCCCATACATCAGACAGCTTTGGAGCAGATTTTGTGGAGCACCTGCACAGAACAAACAGCATTTTGCGAGTCATAATATTTTCAGCATCAATACAGCATTCGTGAGAAATTGGATATAAAATCCCATTTTAATATCTTAAAAGGGGAGGAAAGGAGCGTAGAAATGCTCTGCTCTGAAATTATACCACTGCAACCAAAATGCTTATGAATGTGGAATTCTTGCCAGTTACTGAATCTTAAAATATTTTAAAACTCTTATTTTAAATGGAAGGTTATTGAAGTGTTTGGCTGAAATAGGATGATAGAGCTTGTAAGATACTATGTTTAGTAATTGCAATTGTTCAAGTTAAAGGAGAATGGAGAAACAAGGTTTACTTTGCAAAGAAATTCAGGTTCTTTTAAGAACTTATAAGCTCTTACATTCTATTGTGGAAGCCAATTATATAAATATATATACATACATATGTGTGTGTGTGTGTATATATATATATTGCTTATTCTTTCTTTTTTAAGAGTTAAAATATCTCAGCCACTACAAAAATGCCGCACAAATTCTTTGAACAATTCATATACTCAAACACCATCTCAAGACTTGGGAGTTCCCAAGACATACACAAAGGTAATTATTTATTTCTGATAAAACTGTTAAAGTAAAAGTGCAATCATTGTCCTTAAAGAAGATACAGAGAGAACACAGGTGGGAATACCAGGAAAGCTTAGAGCAAGACCAGTGCAACATCCAGCCACTCCTGCATTTATGGCTAGAGAAGAGAGATAGCTAGTCAGAAAAAAAAAAGTATATATAAATATATTACTTCAGAATAACAAAAAAGTTGTACCATCATCTTTTCCCCGTAATCTCTTCAAAAAGCATACAACTACACGGTGCACGCCCGAGAAAAGTGCAAATGTCTACAAGGATGAGTGAAAAATAGGAAGTTCAACATTACAGGTGAATGGGGATAATCAAATCCATCATCTCCATATAAAGGGATCATTAATCAACAAGTAAGGAGTATACATAAGTATGTGTGTGTATGTGTAATTGTGAATATCCCATGCCTTGGCAGAAGACCCAGCCTCCCTAAGCGAACCTTTGAAACCCTTCCTGCTAATCAATCCAGCACCTGATTTCCATATATGAGTTCCAATATTAGAGTAGTAGTGAACTTTGACAGTTTTATTCTAAAGTACAAACATGAGACCAAACACTTCTTTTCAGACACTTAAGGGCAACTAAAGTAACTAAGCACACACCTTACACTCTCTTGACCCACAGACCAAGAAAATCTAACCATGAGAATCTCATCAAATTATCTATGACCAGTAATCAAATTTGCAATTTAATGCCTCTTGCACGTGAACAAGACTGATGGCTGACCGAAGCGAAGGAGAACTCTAAAAGACTAATCATACAATGTAGTAGCAGACTAGTAATAACCAACTCCACAAAATAGAGCACATAACTCAATAATAGCGTAAAGCTGAAATAGAACAACTTAGTGAGCCATCTAAGAGTAAAGGTAAAAGACACTTATAAAGATACACACATACACACAATTATACACTCAGAAGAACAATAAGCCCTAAAAAAAATTATAATCATATCAAAGAACAATAAGAACATCTCCCTCAATTGAACCAAACATGCCGCAAGTGAAAACAAACAGGGGAGAAAAAGGCGGTCCACGAAGAAAGACACAAACATTACGTTCAACAGCCAATAAAGGTAAACAATCAATAGACGAGTGCAAATAAAGATAAAAATAAAATTTAGGTACATTGGAGAGAGAGGAAGATGAAGTCTTACCGAAGCCAAAGATGGAACCCATGACAGCACCGCCGGCTGAGTCGCCGGCGAAACTGATGAGGCAAATAGCAGATGGGCTCGGTGGCTTGGCCGTGCCTGAACCGGAAGTAGAGTCGGTTTCAGAGTTTGGATTGTTCTCCATTTCGGAATTGGAACTGAAATTTCCAGGGTTTTGAGGGGTCGACATTGAATATCAGAAGATGAAGCAGTTCGATACATGGATAGGCTTATTCATAGGGCTCATCAAATCTTGCATTCGACATCAATACTAGGTGCACACCGGTCGAGACTTTTTAAAAAGTACTCCTTCTTATTTTTTTTAAATGTCTTTTTGCTTTGTCAACAATTTACTAAATAAATATCGTTTTGGATTTTTATACATATTTTTTTATTATTACTCTCATCTATCTAATAAATACATTTTTTTCATATTCACTCTTCATCTTTTCTCAAAACATCTATCTCTATCCTCATTAATGAGAGTTATTATTGGCAAAAAAATGATTCTTAATTACTGTGCAACTTCTCAAAACCACATTTATTAAAAATAGGAGGGAGTATTAGGTATTTATTTGAGATTTTAAAAAGTCTTCCAAAAATAAAAAATCGTAGGGTATTTATTATTTAATTTATTTGATATTAGAATTTGTTAAAGGCGTGTTTGTTATAATTTAATCCGTTCAAAATGAGTTTTTTTATTAATCATAATTAATTTTGAAAAATATGGTATGTTTAATTGTTATTGAGATTTTGTGTTTATATTAAATTATTTAAAGAAAAATAATTAAAATTGATATAATGTAAAAGTAGCATAGAAATGATGTGAAGCGATAGTTAGTTAAAATTATGTGAGTGTATGAATAAGAAAGAATGACTAGTACAACACCCGTGTAATACACTGGTGCTTGTTAAAAAATTATTTCTAAATTTTAAAATTAATGAGAAACATTATTTTAAATTTTATTTACTTTTTTACAAAAAATATATATTATTATATATTTTAGAATGATACTTATTATTTGTGCGACTTACATGTGTTATATTATAGTAATTCTTATAACTTATATCATATAACTACTTGAAATATAAATATATTAATTGAGAAATAATTTTATTTTTCTAATTATTATTAAAAACAATTTTATTATTGTTATAAAGATAAATATAATTTACTTTTTTATACATATAATATGGATGTTAAATCGAAGCTTATCGAGAGAAGCACTACCGTAATGCCTTGAAGGGCCGACTTTTCACTATTGAAGCTATCAAAGGTATCTTGGCTTGACTTGGCTGGGCATTAAGAATCCTGCAAAACATGCTCTTCTTCTCTGATCTTGAATTACAGACAGGCTCCCCGAGTCACTAGAAAGAGGGTGAAAGGCCCACTACTTCTTCATTCATGGCCTATTTTTTGATTGATCTCCCTTTCGTATTCATTCGACCTGAGGCAAAAGAGAAGTCATACAAAGATTACCTTCCCTGCCAATTCAGGATTTAGTGAAAGAAAGAAAAAAAGAAGTCAAATCAATTTAAATAATGTCCGACTCAAAAGAGTGGTAGGAAAGAGAGCGTCACATTCTAAAAATAGAAGATGGAAAAAAGGCGATAGGCCAACGGGCCAAGAAGATCGCTCAAGGAAGAGGCTTTACCCCAGCATGCTATGAATGTTAAATCGAAGCTTATCAAGAGATGATTAATTCGATATATTATATATGTAAAACTGATAAAAAATATAATAGTTATTAGTTTTTAAAATACATTTACGGTTCAATAGTTATAACAAGAAATGATATTAAAATACAATTAATACATGTAATATGACAATCAACATATTTATGGATAATTCAAACTTAATTATTTTTTGATTTGAAATAAATTAAAATCTAGTCAAGCCTAATAACGAACCATGTAATTTTGTCACATAACAATTCGAAGCATGCGAACTTGCCACGTAGGCTCAACACGTTTTGAATTTATATATAGGGAGATTGGTTTATATTATTTAATTATATGAATAATATTATAGATAGTGGAGTGGAGTTAAAGTTGAGTTGAATTTTAAGTATAAATTAACTGTGAGCAGAGCCGATCCTGAACATTATAAGGCCCTGAGCGAAATGTGTTAAATGTTGCCTTTAGTTTTTTTTTTTAAGTTAATAAAATAATAAAAAAATGTGACTCGCAATAATAAAAGCAGTCAAATTATATATGCTAATATTGCTAAATTTTATAAATAATATTTGAGAAATTTCTTAAGAATCACAAATGAAAAAAAAAACCGAGAAAAAAAATAAGCAGTCAAAGCTCTATATTTTCATTTACTTTAAATATATGACTTAAGTTTAGTGAAGTACATAATATTCAGTTATAGTTATATAGATTTTATTATTGGAAAATACTAATTTTTATTTTATATTTAATAATGATAAATAACAAATCTAAATTGAAACTCGTCTGAAAATGAGTTTGAAATCACTTAACTCTTTAATTGGCTATCACTAACATAATTAAATTGTGCAATCATAACATAACATTTTGTATATTCAAACAAGAAGAAAAAATTAACAAAATATTAAAAAAATAAGAGAAAATATTAAAAAAAAAAAATAATTTCACTAATAATAACTACTATTTTATTTTGTCATGAATTATAAGGTGGATAAAATATGAAAAGCCTTGTTTAAAGAAAAAAAAATTAAAAATTAAAAATTAAAATTAATTATATATTTAATATTTTATTATATAACTAATATATATACATATATTAAAAAAATATGTAAAAGTGGGCTCTAGAGTAAGATGGGGCCCTGAGCAATCACCCGGCCCACCCTACCCCAGGGCCGGCCCTGAATGTGGGTAAAATACTTTTAATTTTTAAACAAGCAGTCCCTATTTGATTTATAATAAATCAACAATTTATAGAAGTCTAATATAATTAGATTTCTTATATTTAATTTTCTAGCGTAGTTAAAACCTAGCCTGGGATGGGTTTTCCTAGAATTATAGTCTATGACGGTCTAATATCACCTGACCACAGTCGAATACAAAAACCTCACTATTATAAATTCCTGTCCTCGAGAGCTTTTGTGCCCTTTCGTGTACTTTTACTCGCTTCTTTTTGCTTCGTCTTCAACTGTAGCTGCAGCAAACCAAACCGAGAGAAAGAAGAAACACAGGGAGCGCGTTTTTCTTCGTCCTGAGAAAATTGTCGATTAATGGTAAATATTCATGATCCTCTTTAAGGTTCTTAACCTTATTCTTCTTTCCAGCCTTTATTATAGATTTTCTTCAATTTCATCCCAGCGCGCGATATTTCGTCCAATCGATTGTTTCCCGTTAGAAAATTAATGTAGTTGTGAGAGGAGAAAAAAAGCAGTAGGAGTAACATATTATTTGAATTTCGTCAATTCATGATTGGGGGAAAGTGGTGGTTTTTCATGAATTTACGAACTTTTTGTAGTGATGGAGATGAAAAATTGCATAGTTTTCTCTCAGTCCTTTCGAAAGATTTAAATCTTGCAAATTATTGTACAGTTCATGCATTCGGGGATCTGATATGGTTTATTATTAAGTTCCAACTTTTTATTTTCTGTTAATTGCGTATGTAAGCGTCTTGGAAAGATCAATAATAGGTTTAGTATTTTTCATTTCTTTTTCCTGCTAATCACGTATTGGCAACAGAAAAGTTTTCAATTGACAGGGTTTAGCAGTAGAACTCGTTTGAAATTCATAATTTACTAATAATTCAACTCAAGTTCATCATCATCATCATTATTCTCTTTTCAATCTGTCGTTGTAGATGCCTGGCATGAGTTCCAGCTTAGAAGAAGATCCAAACAAGGAGTCGTTTGAGGAAGTGGACCCCACCGGCCGATATGGTCGGTACAGTGAGCTCCTTGGCTCGGGTGCCGTGAAGAAAGTCTACAGAGCCTTTGACCAGGAAGAAGGAATAGAGGTCGCCTGGAACCAAGTCAAATTACGAAACTTTTCGGATGACGAGACAATGATCAACCGGCTGTTTTCCGAAGTCCGCCTGCTTCGAAACCTGAGGAACAAGAATATAATTGCCTTGTACTCTGTCTGGCGGGATAAGGAGAAGAACACACTGAATTTCATAACCGAGGTTTGTACCTCGGGTAACCTGAGGGAGTACCGAAAGAAGCACAAGCACGTCTCGATGAAGGCCCTCAAGAAGTGGTCCAGGCAGATTCTGAAAGGCCTGGATTATTTGCACAGGCATGAGCCGTGCGTGATTCACAGGGACCTCAACTGTAGCAACATCTTCATCAATGGCAACGTTGGTCAGGTAAAAAGCAATTAAACAAGCTTTGAGATATAGTCTTTTTCTGCAGTGAGTTATGAAGCAATCACCATATTTTGGGCAATGTATTTGTGGAGTTGTTGGAAAAATTGAAGAAAAAAATCGACTCTTAAAAGTTTGAGCTAGTTATGGGGAAAAGTTGGAAAATACCCAATTATCTATCAGAATTACAGTACATACACTCAGTTTGACCTATATATTTTCTTGACAATTGAATTTTGTTATGCCATTTTCAACTCTAATAATCTTTTGATTGTAATTTCTAAAAGTAGGCATTTTTATAAATTTGTGCAGGTGAAAATTGGCGATTTCGGATTGGCGGCAATAGTTGGGAAAAACCACTCGGCTCATTCGGTTCTTGGAACACCGGAATTCATGGCGCCCGAGCTGTATGATGAGAACTACACGGAGATGATAGATATTTACTCTTTTGGGATGTGCTTGCTCGAGATGGTGACACTCGAGCTTCCATACAGCGAGTGTGAGAATGTGGTCAAGATATACAAGAAAGTGACATCTGGAGTGAGGCCTCAGGCCATGAACAAGGTCAAGGATCTCGAGACCAAAGCATTTATTGAGAAGTGTCTTGCTCAGCCAAGGGCCAGGCCCTCAGCTGCCGAGCTCCTCAAGGACCCATTTTTCAGTCAGATTTGTGATGATGATGGTGATGATGATGATGATGCTAACAGGTGCTGATAGTTTTTTGTGATGATGATGATGATGAATAAAATGCTAACAGTTGTCTATATTTTTTATTGATGATGATGAAGAAATTGCTAACAGATGTTGATGGTGTGTTCTTTTTCTTTGGTTTGATACCTTGTTTTAATTGTTGAGGAGGATATCTTTGGGTGGGATTTTTTGGAATTCGGTGTCCACGTTTTCTTGTTATTTCGTTTTGTATAATGTGTATGGGTGATTTTCTTCAACTGCTCCAAAGATGAGGAATGGAGAGATCTGGGGAAGGTTGGGTGTGGTGCTGGTGATCTTTCATTTTGTAAATATATAGTAGGTATTCAACATTTGGTTAAAGTTGAATTTTGAATTGCGGATGAAATTCCCATGTGTTTTCTTCATCATTCTTGAAGAAATTATGAGAGGTAGTTGATTATTTTTACCCAAAGGCTGACATTATGCGACTTCAAATAACTGTACCCGCTGCACATCTTTTACCCTACCACTAGACAAGGTTTTGTATGGAGGTGATTTGGATTGGTTTGAAGTTGAATGGTTTTACCTTTGGATTCTAATATTGAATCTATAATAGCGAAGTTAAGGGAGCGAATGGCTGTTACCAAGTTGGGTCATCCATCCTAGTACTACTCTCGGCTGTTATCAAGTTGGGTCATCTATCCTAGTACTACTCTCGCCATGCACGATTAACTGTAACCAAAACAGTTTTTTTATTGAATTTATTGGTTAAAGTAGGTTATTTTAAATAAAAATACAAATAAAAGATACAATCGGTATTCAATGGATTTGTCGGCTAAACTAAGTTATTGATTAGATTTTGAATTTTTAATTAAATAATGTTAAAAATTTATATCTTGAAGTTGAAGTAATGTAAAAGTATAAGACTGATTATTGCAAATGATATATAGTTAAAAATATGTAAGTTGATAAATAGTGAATTAAAATTATGTCATGTGTGAGAATGATTTATTGATACTATTTAATTATATTGATAATATTGAAAAGGGTTGAGTTGAATAAATTGATTTTTCAGTCAAATCCGATTTTAACTTGTCAATAGCAAACTAAATGGCTTTAAAGTGTCTGCACTCTAAAACCGAATTGAATTGGAGAATGAACGGGAAAAATTTTCTTTACCTCCCAAAGTATTCCCATTTTTAGACTTTGCCTCACAAACTTTTTTCCCTGACAAATTACCTCCCAAAGTACACGAAACTAACAAGTTGTCTCCTCTATAAAAAATCCTAATATGAAACAAAAAAAACTTAATTAACGATAAATTTGGAATTCATATCTAAAATTGATTCAGGGCTTTTGAAGACCACGGAGAGACGAACAAAATGAGGTATGGTTTATAGATTTCTGAAAACTAATACGTCGGTAGTCGATCGACGAAGAAAGTAGGTGCACATGTGTATAGAAAATAATTCTATTCAACTTTTATGATAATGAAGATATCTGAATTTTTATCGGGAGGTGTCATTTGAAAGCATGTAGGACGAGATTTCTAACGACGTAAATCTTATGAAAATTCAATAGTCGGATTTTGCTTAGTAGCCTAAGAAAAAGTTGAATATTTGTCAATTTGTTTGACAATTGATCAGAATCTGACTGTTGGATTTTTATAAGATTTACCTCGAACCAAACAAAATTCTCTAAATACCCTCTCCCTTTCAATTTCCCCCAGATCGCAAATCAGAAAATCCTAGCTTCATTTCGCCGGTGCCTCCCCCCTCCGGGCTCTCAGCGACGATATGGTGCCAGCCGTTACCGGTCCGTGCTGCTTGTCGCTCAAAGCCTCGTCTACCCCTCTCCGGTGTAGTGTTTTGCCACTCTCGTCGGTCGACTATGTCCAAGTAAGCTTCAGGTGGGTGTCGAGAGGTGTCGAGCTGCTGGCTCCAGCCGTATTCTTTGAGTTGGTCGATGTCGATGTTAGGTTCTTCTTTTTCCTCTTTTCCCGTTCTTCTCTGGCGGTTGGAAGTCGGGCTGGGTGCGGGTTGCGGGCTGTGGGTCGTGTTTGGTGCCCATAGTCCTTGGTTGGTGTGTGGGAAGAGGAGGAGCTAGCCTCCGGTCGCTGGTCCGGGGTGGTCCGCTCGGGTGGAGAATTTTGCCATCTGGTGTGGTTTCAATTAGTCGAGTTAGCCAACTCTGGAGTTTTTGGAGCTATATTCGGGCTGGGTTTCTATCCGCGTGGTCGGTCGTCTCTGGGTGCTGTGTTGGTGGCTTTGCAGTTTGTTGCCGGTTAAGGGAAGGGTTTATTTTAGTATTGTGTGTTTATTTTTGTTTTTGTGTTGTTTTGAGTGGTGTTGGTGTGTTGTTTAATTCTTCTATTTTGAAGTGGGAGTGTTTAGTTTAGTTTGTTGTGTAGTGAGTGAGTTAGTTTGACTATTTCTAGGACGCACTTATGTGATGGCGTTTGAAGTGGAGGATCTGTCTTGGGAGATTTCAAGGGTTTCACGATCGAAAATATTTGAGGATTTCTACTTTCCATTCTCATCGGGACGGAGGAGAATGCCCATAACTTTGTAATCACTTAAAAAGAAAACTCAATGCCAAAATGCCACAACTAAATGATTTCTTATTTCAATCCGAACCATGACAAAAGTTTTCCTTCACGGAAAAGAAATCGAACCGAGCACAATGTGACGTNAAAGAACTAATTTCCGTCAAATATATTTCCTATTAATCACTTCAAATTTTCTCTTCATGAATTGCTTCCACACAAAATAAACATAAGTCAACCAAACATCCACAACTGTATAAACAAGAACATGCCAAACCAAGTGTACACAAAATTCATGTTCTCCTCTCCTCAACTAAGAGCAGCAAAGAGCAGTGATGAATTTGTTCCCCCAAAGCCAAATGAGTTAGACATGGCAGCTTTAATCTGCATCTTCTTTGAAGCCATCAAAGGCATGAAATCGGCACTAAAAATCGGATCCGGCTTCTTCAGGTTGCGTGTCAAGGGTGCAATTCCCTGCAATTAAACGTGCAAAGTGTTTGCCTCGATAAAATTTCCTTGTGTGGCCAAATAAAAGGCAAAGGAAGAAACAAGTAAAAAATAATAATAACTTTGCAAGTTTTAACATTAATTTGCTTACATGGTGTATAGCTAAAATTGAGAATAATGCTTCAACTGCCCCAGCTGCCCCAAGAAGATGCCCAACAGCACCCTGACATTATATTACCAGTAACTAATGATTAAAATCCGTAACTCTGGCATCTAAAAACAGCAGTCAAAATCAAAATATTCCTATTTTTTATTTTTTTTTTGCGAAATTGAGACACAAAGCTACTTAAAAACAACCTAGAAACCTGATTTCAGGATGAAGGAAGACAGTAGGATGGAAAATTCCACTACAATTTTATCCAAAACTAACGAGTAAAAAATTGTAAACGATTTTTTTTTTTTTTTTCACATTTACATATACTCTCGTTACACAAATTTACTTTAATATACCAATGATTACCTTTGTGGAGGACAAGGCCAGAGTGTCTGATGCTGCATGACTGCCAAATAAAGACTTAATAGCCTTGGCTTCTATAGCATCCCCTGCATGAGTTTTTGAAGTTCAGACAAAATATGGGACAACATTAACTGCATTTTTATAGTACTAAATAAATGATAGCTTAACTAAATTTAAATTACCCAAAGGAGTAGATGTAGCATGTGCATTAACGTAGCCCACCTGATCAGGCTTTAGGCCAGACTGCCAATGACAATAAACAAATCAATGTTAATGAGATAATTTTTTTTGTCTTCGAGGATGATACGAATCGTCTAAATTCCTATTTTCCTCACTGAATTGTAGGGCAATAGAGGATGTATATATGCATAATGTGTTGCAAAAGAAATTACATAAACAATATAAAAGCAATTAAACAAAGGTGTTCTATTCATTGTTTTGCAATTTCAACAATTTAGACTGGGCTAGAGAATTCTGCTGGAAGCTCAAAATAAGTATACAACCCTCCCTCCTATGGGTGAAGCTGTAATTCAACGAGAGCTGCCAATTTCCGACTGGCTTTATTTGCATGGAGGAATAAGAGAGTTGCGTTAAATTAAGGGTTCACTAAATCCAGCCTGTGGAAAAGAAAAAAAAAACAACTATACAAATTACTATATAATAAAGTGGAATATAATTACACCTTTTTGAGATTCGGCTAAACCTTGGGAATAATTTTTCTACTTTGCACTTCGCCCTTAAATAAATTCCAGCAATAGGCACATCAAATGTTTTAAAAGGAGCAACAGATAACTTATATCATCCTCTTATGGATTTTCAATAAACATATGGACAGTTTACAGATTTTGTTCTATTCCAAGTTTACATGCATCGTTGGATCATTTAGATTTCTTACATCCATGCTCACCTTTTGCGTGCAAAATACTGCACAATTAAGTCATCCCCATAAACATTTTTGGATCTAACTGTGAAAGAAGGCACACCGAATTTCTATTTTAATAATCAGAATATGCGTCAAATACCTGCTCCAGAGCACGCGTCATAGCCAAAATGGCCCCTCTTCCATCACCATGTGGTTGAGTAATGTGGTATGCATCACCTTGAGAAGAAAACAGAATCTGGTATTACTACAATTATTTCATTTTCTAAATGAAATGATGATATAAAAAAAGTTCAGATGGGTGAAGAAATTACCTGACATCCCATAACCACGAATTTCAGCGTAAATTTTAGCTCCACGCCTTTCTGCATGCTCCAGCTCCTGACAGATTAAAATAACTATCATAAAAGGTTCACAACAACAGCACTCTTTTTTTTGCTACACTTTCTTCTGTAATTTCCCTTAAAGAAGAGGATCTTTTAAGTTAGTGAGAAAAAAAGAAAAAAATAACTTTTGGCGTACTTGTGATAACACTCACCTCCAAAACAAGGATGCCGGAACCTTCGCCTATTCTGTATTTCAGGAGAGTTTATTACAATACATCATGTCTAGCAATTACCGAATATAGCAGCCATCACACTTACACAAATCCATCTCGGTCACAATCGAAAGGTCTTGAAGCTTCTTCAGGAGTCCCGTTGTACTTGGTCGTCAATGCTCTTGACCTGCATAAAAGCCATATAAGCTTGCTTTTAGAAACTGATCTCATAGCAAACATTGGCAGAAAGCCTTATATATTTCAGAATTCAACAGACAATGCCTACATCTCATTTCAAGGAGCGTTTTAAATTAACAAAAAACAAAATGGATTATCTTTGCAGACTAAAACAAATGAAGTCTCTCTATCTCTCTTCTGTTTAGTTTTGTTAGTTTTTCTTTGTTTCTTTTCTTTTTTTTTTTTGGATAGTTCTAGTTTTTAGGGTTAATTTTCAGTTATTTAATTTTTTTCCCACGAAATTTCTATTTTTTCAGTATTTTAATTTCGTAATTTAATTTTTAGAAGTGTGTATTTTGATACCATGCACCAACTTACTCCGTAAGTAAGATATGCACTTATAGATAAGACACCGGTTATGAATTTCCCCTCTCTTAAAAGGTAGTGATTTAGCCACCCAAACAAAGAAAGGGGTAAAATATTACTAGACATCGATGGCATTATAGGCTCATCTAAATTACCTACAAAATCCTGCAATAGACAAAGCATCAATGCTCGATTCAGTCCCCCCAGCAACCATGACATCAGCGTCTCCAAATTGAATCATCCTTGTGGCATCTCCAATAGAGTGAGCCCCAGTAGCACAAGCTGTCACTGCAGCATGGTTCGGTCCCTAGATTCAAAACCAAGACTAGAATGCACAATTATTGCTTTGGTATATATTTATCAAACATAATAATGATACTAATTGTTCAGACCACAAATTATGAGCACACAGATTCCAAGCCAAAACTTATAAAATGAGTGGGTCTTATGTGGCTCAACCTTCATTTGACACACAAAGACATCAATCTAATTATATTTTAATATTGAATTTTTCATGTTTTACTTACACAAGACTACTAATTGAATTATTCTCAATGATAACAAATGGTAGAGAAGTACATGAAGGCATGGTTATAAATTAACCGCATACCTGGAATCCATACTTCATGCTCACATGACCAGAAGCCATGTTTATAAGTATTCTTGGGATGAAAAATGGACTGAGTCGGCGTAATTTCTGCATTCGAAAAAATAATTAAATGATAATACTTACACAAAACTTAATATAAAATAAAACTATTGCTGGGTTGTTGAAACAGATTAACACAAGGAAGCAAGATCTCTCTTGGTTCTGATTGAGGACATGGACATCCCTCAATTCTACATTATACAAACCAACTTATCGAAGATATTCTTACTATACTCGAGTAATAAGTATCAAATTTTGAACGTTAGTAAGGTAGGAAACAGAAGAATTAAACCTTCTCAAAGATCATGTTTGAAGCATCCAATATATCAGTGATGCTGCCAATTCCCGCACCTATAGAAACACCCTGATGATGTTAAAGTAAAAAATCAGAAGTTGCAAATAAACACTACTAATCTAAAAATCCACATAGGCAGCACCCGGATGACAACTAGGAGTCCATTTTATTTTATTTTAATTTTTAATTTACTTATAAAAATATAGTGAAATATTAGGCATGGGATAGATCATAGATTAAAGAAGGAATGTTCAGTACTGATTCTTATAGTACAGTTGGGGGAGTCGATAAGCTAATACCTATGGATGTCTATTTGCCAGGTTGTCCCCCTGAACAGGAAGTAGTTATAGATGTTATAAAAAAACTTCGCAAGGCATAATTATAAAATTTAAAAAAAATATATAAGTATGTTAAAATTATAAGGAATGTGTTACATATCAGATAATCTTTGAATTTAACCATAATAATTAATTTATTTTATGTTATATTATATGTATGTATATGTATATCTAGATATTAATAATTATGTATGATGAGATATATACATAAATTTATTAATATTTTTATTCTCTTACCTAAGCCCTGCCTAAGCACAAGGAGCGAGCACTTAATGGCTTTTAAAACATTGAGAAAAAAAAAATGCAAAATTCAACAGCATAATAAATTGAGAAACTACCGTCCTTTCTTTCTCGTCCTGTGTAGAGGGTATATAATTTGCATCTCTTAGAGCCTCATCGGCAGCACATAAAGCATAGCCTATAAACCTGGATATCGACCTATGATCCTGGGATATAAAAAATGACACATCATAAAGTTCAAGACCATTTGTGCTCCCTGAAAATTTAAATACATAATATAACACGAAGTTAATGCAAATGCAGACTTCCGAAATTCTCAACCAAATAGACTTCTTCAGATTATTTACTTACATGCCGGCCAATCACATAGCTTGAGTTCTTGTCCATTTTTTCTTTTGAAAAGGTAAAAGAAAAGAAAAATCTCATTTTTCGGATCTTAAAAATGATTTACATCAAACTTCAATTACTGGATTTAGTAATTTACTCTAGCAATTGGTCTAACAGAGGGTTTTGACAACTTTCGGGTACATAATCCCAACATTGGAATTCGGAGGTTTGCACACAGACAAAGTATAATGGAAGCAACATACAACTTAAGGTTATTATTTCATTCTCTATGGCGCCTACACCACTTCAATTTAAAAAAGTGATAGCAACATCTGACAAGGGTCACCTTTGTATTAAGCCACAGCTCCTCATTAAATTCACCTAGGTTCGATCCACAGGGTACAATTCCAGCGACTTTGGATGATAATTGATCAAAAGTGTGCAACTGTTTCTCTCTATCAAATCCATTCATCTTCAGGTCTTCAGTGGTAATGGCTCTAATTCCACAATCCCCTTCCACTAAACGTTTCCAGGTCACGTCCACGCCACAACCCAACGGAGTCACCACCCCTAAGCCTATAACAAATACAACCAGAATAAAAAGAAAAAGAAAGAAAAAACTATATAGACTAGAAGAAGAAAACTAACAATTTTCAATAGTTGATAAAGATTGGGTAACCGCATTAAATGTTTGGTATTTTAAGAAAACAAAATACAATTAGGCAACATCTAGATTGAGGGATTCCGGGAAGGATTTGTAGTCCATCTTGGCTAAAGAACTCAAGTCATTAGTGTTAAAAGTCTTCCTCAGTTTTAGTTACTTTTGGTGGATTTGAAACTATCTTAAACCGAGTTATGTGAAGCCCTTTCTACTTAGTATACAAACAAGTATGTATACTATGTGACAAAAACACTCTTTCACGCGCAGACGCCAACTACACTAGTTTCACAGTCACATACACAACAGCAGGGGATGCAAACTTCACAAGCACGCTACATTTTTCACTAAAATTTATAAATTTCATATATATCTAATAAATTAATATTTTTCAATTATCGCTTGATTAACAGTTGAAAAGGTTTAGAATTTCGCAATGATTGGATACTTCAGCCAAATCCCCAACACATCCAGACAAGAAAAATAAAAGGATGAATACAAAACCCAAAATTACTTGATTTCACCTCAATCCTAATAAAGCCTGTGACACCTTTGCACAATCAAGCACAACTGGTTTATGATGCACATGCACATATCCAGGTATTTTACACGAGTACACGTAAAATATCATAAGCAATGCAGTTTCCGATTTCAAGATAGTTACCAGTCACAACGACCCTTCGTGAACGAACAAGGGGTGGTAGGTTAAAGGGGCCAGAAGATAAGAAGCGGCTGAACTGGAAGATTGAGGTATAAAGCCTCTTACTTTTCTGCCTTGCTACTGCCATCTTGCTTCCAAATTCCTAATAAAAGCAAAATAAAACAGACAAAAAAAAAAAACAAGCAGCCATCTTACAACCTATAAACTGATAGTGCTTGTGGGCAATGGGCAACCTCCTGCACGGTCTATTGACGATTTTGTCAAATAAAACTTCGAAAAAGAAAGTGTCGCTCACAACTCGCACCATTTAAAAAATGCCCTGCTTCTGCTCGAATTTCAAAATCCTATTCTTAAATTCTAAAGCGCGGGATTGTCTTTAAAACAAAAGGAGTAAATGAATAATGACAGTTTCCGTTCCTCCTCCTTTCTTTTCTCTATTTGGAGAAATTTTTTGTCGAACTGTGACAATTAAAAATTACTAGAAAAAAAAGGAAAGAAAAGGAGAGAGAGAGAGAGAGGGAGAGAGAGACTGCAGACATACAGTTCGACAGTAGAAGAGGGCCGAAGTCTCCGACGAGATACAGCGTGGTGGAAGGTGGCGGTGCGGCGTTGAGGGCGGCGATTTTAGATTGGGAAGGAGCAGTGATATGACGCGTGTTTCGAGTGCGATTACATTATTAAGGGCATTTTAAGTGAGGTTTTGGAGAGGTTTAAAAGCACAAACACATTACCAATATAACACAGAGGTTTGAGGTTTGTGTTCTCAAATTAGAGTGGACCATTATTACCCTCTACATCTTAATAACGGGGAGTTGCGTCCCTTATGGTGTGCCACGTGGCCAACTCCCCTATTCTATATGTTGCAACATAATTTTGGGATATATTATTTGGGCCAACTTTCTTATTTTATATTTTTTATTTCATGATTATAATTATGGACTATATAATTGGGCCAAGTTTTCTACTCTCCATGTTTTGCTTGAGGATATAAGTTTGGGTTTTGTTATTTATGCTAAGTTTTATTATTTGTTGGGTTGATCACTTATTTTTGCCAATTTTGTTTTTAATGGTTTTGATCCCTCTACTTTTAGGCTATGTGGCCTCGTCAGTCTCTCTCATGTGTAGTTTTGAAATGATTTTTTTTTTAAGTATGTTTAGTACTTTCTATGTGGAAAGAAATCACACCGGCCTCAAACGTGAATGACTTAGATATGTGGAATCACTTTTATCTTTTCATACCTAAATTCCTCTTCATTTAATGTCTTTCATCCACTTCCTCCCATCTCATGTCAACTGGTGTATCATAATTTACTTAATTGCAAGTACGTTTTCCATTCAGATATGGCAAATGTATAGGTTTTAAGAGAAAATTGTAATAAGTCATTGTTTCTCAATGATGCAATGTTATTATACCATTTTAACCCACTCGGGTCTATCTTATCCATTACAAAATAGGTTGGGTGCCCGTACATTTTGAAAATTGAGATAATTGGCGACCCCTTGTGCTCAACTAATTACGCAAGCAAAACAAATAGTTCGTAAACCACTTAGTAAGCGTGATGAATTTTACGATAAATTGGTCATCACAAACATAATGTTTGACCAATTGGTTTTGATTTTTAAAAACTAAAAGTTATACAGTCCTTCGTGTGATCAATTTTTTTTGCCGTATAATTTGTTTATCTTATCAATGTTTTTAGGTGCGTTTATGAGCATAAGTTCTTTTTCGATAGTCTTTAGATGTAATTTTGGATCTATTTGTTTAAAATTTTATAATATGACTTTCAAATATAAATGTTTTGGTATTATGGGCAGGTTGTGCATCGCACAACGGAGAGATTCCTAGTTTGGACTTAAATCCCCAATTCCCTATTCATTTTTCTTTTCTTTTTTTTTTGGTGCAGCCTGTTCATTTTCTGTTCAGGCTCTCTACATTTTTTTACACTGCAATCCCTAACATAACTCGCTATTTCCTCGCAACTACTCATATATATCTATTAATATTATTATTAACAATTTATTTCTACTGAAAATCATAAAAAAATGAAAAAATGTTTAGATCTATCTCTTCTCACATAGCACATGATCGTTTCCAAATTTTTCCATCTCCGGCCACTTCAATATTCCATCTTCGTCGCCTCCATTGTCACCAAAATTAAGGCTCCTTCAAGCTCGCCCCTTGACCTCTGTCTCCGTGAAGCTTGTCCATCCGTAGGCGGCCATCGAGATACAATGTCGTGCTAAAAAATTCTAAATATTACTAAATTTAGTAAGTTTTAAATGCTTAGGTGAGATTTTAATTACTGTTTTAGGTAAATTCTTGGCCTTATTCTATAGTAATACATTTTAGTAAACAAGTATTTTAAAAAATATTGATATATATTTTAGTAAATAGTTTAATCTTTATATAAATATTATTGAACTATATATATTTTATTATCTAATTAAACTATATTGTGGTATCCCCTTAATATAATTTCAAAACCTGCTGAGCCTAAATGGCTGTCTCGCACGCTTCGGAAGCTTACTTGGCAGTATTACATGTTTCGGCTTTTGGTTCGGATAAAAAATAATGCAATTATATTCCAAAATAAATAGGATCTCCAACTCCAAAATAAATAGAATTCTTGTTCTTATCTCCTCCAACTTTATATGCCGTGTAAATTGTATTAGTAAAATGAATAAAGTTTAGTTGTTTCTACATTATTTAAATCACCATCCCCTTCAACTCCAAAATAAATAGGATTCTTATCTCCTCCAACTTTTATATTTATCAAACTTAATATCAAGTTATTATTATTGTTTATCAAAAAAATTTCATAATTTTGACGATTTTTGTATAAAAATGTTATGAGTGGGAGGATGGTATTTCTTGAGTCAATTGGAGTAAAATAATTTAATAACGTGGGATAAAAAAGTTTTGTAAACTATTATATTATATTTAAAATAGTGGGAGGATATAATTAAGAAATACCATGCTCAATTATAACTCAAGATTATTATTTAAAATTAAACTAATCATGTAGTTTACAAAACTTGAAAATAAAAAATAAAAATCTATATTTAGGGCTTTTAGTTTTATTATTAAACATTCTTAATTCAACACCCGTGTAGCATACGAATATTATACTAGTTAAAATAATTTAAAATAATGAGAATAAAAAAAATATTATTTGAATTAAAATGTAACGTGAATGTTGGAAACGTTACTTGATTTTTGTTTCAACTAGTACGTATCCCGTGCGATGCACGGGGGTATTATTCTGAGAGTATATTATAAATTGAAGTGTATTAATAAATAAAAAAGTGAAATATTATAAATTGAAGTATATTGATAAATAAAAGAGTGATAATATGTAGAGAAATTGTCAAACCATAAAAATGTTCTTCACACAAATTACTATATTATTAAAAATTTCTTTGTACCCAACATTATTAGTTTAATTCATGGGCAACTCATCGTCCCATAACCTAATATTTTTAACTCCTTTATATTACAAACACAAGAACCAATAACATATAATTGACCATGACTAAAAACGAATTTTTCTTTTATCATCATGCATACAAAACTATAAGTAGGAACTGGTGCCGTTGGAACTTAAATGGAACCTAAGATCGAAAGGATTTATTTATCATAGGATAATTTACACGGTAGTTCTATAAATGCTATTAGTTTATCATTTTAATATCGATCATACTTTATTAGCTGAATAATTTTTACTAATATTTTTATAATTTTTTAATTATATAAAGAACATCAAATAGTGTGTTTAAAATATTAAAAACACATAAAATATTATATAACATATGTAAGATTTGTGAACATATCACCGTATAAAGAGATTTGTATATATCTCATAACAAATCGTTCTTTCATTAAAATATTTAAGTAATCATATAACTAAAATAAAAAAAATCCTTCATAAATGAGAATTATGAAATCAGTTGCGTAATTATTTATATAACCTTTGCCTACCAAACAATTATCAACATAAATAAAGAAAATTGAGAATTGACTAAAACATACATAAATTGAAAGTCTAGTTTTATGAAAACTATGCATTAGTGATTTATTTATTTGTATTTAAATATATATTATATTATTTCCATCTATAGTTTCAACCCGGACCGGCCCGGTGGGTCGACGTGGGACTCGGTTGACCCGGAGCCGGAACCGGTCCGAGTAGACTATTCGTACCAGGCAACAAAGGACCCGACCCCTATATATATATATATTTTTTTTTTTAAAATATTTTTTGTTTTTAAAAAATTAAACTATGTATATATATTTATATGGCAAATTTTTATCATGAAATACATATTATGAATACATTAATGTACAAATACAAAAATTTAATTTTCTTACTTTTTGTATATTTATATGACAAAGTACTGTATGTATAATTTTAAAAATTTTAAAATTAATTATCCGGTTCAACAATTGATCCGGTGACCCGACGGTTGAACCAGTAACCCGGTGACACGGAAACCTGCCCAGGTCGATTCCCAGGTCGGGTTTAAAAGCTATGATAATATGTATTGATGGGCTAAATTATTATGTCTATCTGCTATTGATAGATATTCCGTCAAGATTTATAAATTCATTTTTGTTTCAAAATGCAAAGAAAAATTCTGCCTAAAGATTCGATAATAAAACAACAACTAAATATCATAACAAAATCCACTTTTCAAGGGCTATCTGAAATGAAAAATATTAATTCAAGATTTTTAATATTGTGTTTATAGGAAAAATATTAAATTAAGATTGACATGCAAACGTGTAAGTTAGATTTTACCAAAAAATTAGCCATAACATTAGGAAGGGATCTTGTACCAGAGATTCTCCAAACTGATTTCTAGTTCGAAATGCAAAGAAAAAATCTACTAAATGATTTGTTAAATAGAATCCAGTTTTTAAGGAAAAGATATATGGGACGCAATCAATGCAGTCCATTCGTGTTTAATTAAAATATGTTTTAAGATTACTTTTTATAGTATGTAATTAATACATTTTGGCAGGAAAAAGTTTCTAAATGTGATATATGTTAATTCTTATTACATATATATAGACTAGTTTGTTTCCGGCTGTGCTGTGCACAGCCGGGCCCAATTTGGGGTAAAAAAAGTTGTATTCATTACCAAAAAAAATTGTCCTAATTACCAAATATGTCAGTACTATATAATTTGTAAATCTTCGGATTAAATTGTATGAAAGTCAATATAAACTTACCTATTTAATGCATGTAAGATTATGTGTTGCACAATTACATTAGCTATAAAAATAAGATTTAGAAGAAGAAGTCATTAAGATTGAGGGTGCTTTCCTATCAGAGAGCATAATTTTTGTCCCAATTCACAGATAAGTAATTTACAAAAACAATGTTAATAATAAATTATTATCAATATTATTGTGTAACCAAATTAGGTAGTAAATTGATCAACTGACCTGTCCAGTACAATAGTAATTGTACAGTAATATATATTGCTTCAGAAAAATTATGACATAAAAATCACAAAGTTCATAAAATGGATATGAAGAAGCAAATAGTAATGAAAAATTGAAAACAGAGTACTATTTATATCCAGAACTCTATAGTGTGATTTAAAAGATAACAATTAAATATGAGTTGTTTTAGAGAACTGACATTCACTTCATTGACATTTTAAGAATTTGCAATAAATTATGCAATCTATCTTTCACTGGAACTTATTTGCTTCATATCATAAACATTGTTCCAAAAAGAAAGTTTTCCATGTGGGAGCATACATGGAACGTTTGGATGTACCTGCAAATGGGTAGATGGGTTATTCTACTTAACTGGTTTGTTTCTGAAACACATTTTGCACAAGCGCAAACACAGGAACACAAAAGCTAATTACAGGTTAATTAGGTTCCATCATCTTTAATATCAATCATCTTTAATATCAATTACAAGGAGGTAATTCTACTTCACTGGTTTGTTTCTGAAACACATTTTGCACAAGCGCAAACACAGAAACACAAAAGCTCACTACGGTTCCATCATCTTTAATATCGGTTACAAGGAAGCCCATACACGTAAAATTGGGGTCCTTTAACCATTAAGTTTTAATATTATATCCGCTATTTTTCGGCCTTTAAAATAAGTACACCCAGAGTTCCAAAATAAGCCTGGCAAAAGATGAACCTGGAGTCGAACCAAAGAAAATGTACAAATGGTCTGCTGTAGCCGGTTAATTGCAAATACTTACGGTGGCAGCATAACAGCCACATAAGACAACACACGCTGTTTAGGCATTTCTGCGTAGTTTTTGAAATGGCTTGACTGGATTGTCTTTTTTTTTGTTCATACATATGAACCTCCTTTTGTGCCTGCATGATTAGAAAAATTTGAGATTATAAAGTTATGCAACATATTTTTTTTTTTTTTTTTTATTTTTTATAGTTATGAAAGAAATGGATGGCAATAATGGGACCTGATTATCCATTTGAGGATGTTTGGTGCGGAATTGATTTTTTGCAACATGCTTTTTTTCTTTCGCATCTTCTGCAATTAGTTCGATACCACCGCCAGTACTTGAGTTGTTCATGTTATTCTTTACATCAAGTGTTTGCAAATCAATTTGTTCCTCATCTATGTATAGCTTCAAGACTGAGTAAATTGACACATGGCAATGGAATTTATGTATAAAACACACAACACTTTTTCCATAGATGTATGAGCGGATCTCCTCAATGAAATCTGTCCCCTAAAGAAACAACTTTGATGGTTAGAAAATATGGAATCTGTATATGTTTTTTTTCCATACATTAACATCACATGAATTGAACTTTTCCTGTAAAGTAGTAATTTTTATGGATATAATGATGTCTAGTAATTTTTATGGATATAATGATGTCTGGTGAATTTACTGGGTAAATGAATACCTTGCGAAAAATGCAAAACATAAGCATGTTGTAATTAAGTATTGTAGAAATTGCAACAAATTGTATTTTTTGTAATTAAGTATTGTAAAATTCGTTGCATTACAAAATAGCGCACACACGCATTCACAGCATATGTAGCGCATGAAACCTAACATCTTAGAATCCACCAAGCAAATCTAATGATATGCTTAAAGAATTCTAAGCTGAAACCAAAAGAAGGGCAACAAAAGAAAAGCACAATGTCATCCAAAATAGTTAGAAAGACTTAGATCTATTAAGAGTACTTGATAGGCTCCATAACAATTACACAATACATAAACAAAAGGGGTGATGAAAGTTCATTCCTCAGTGCGCAGCTTCTTAGCAGGACTGACAGACATTTTCTTCTTCCCAGTTCTTATGTAGGCCGCGTGGACATCAGGAGCATTGTGTGTTGTCTGTAGCAACCAAAGATTCTGCAGTAGTTTCAGGATTCTCAAAGAGTAGAGAACGAACGACGGCTGACTTGGATTCTTTTGGTGTAGACATGGTTGTAGGCTCATCAAGAATAGCTTCGAGGCACGCTTTAGCAGACGGCGTAAACAATTGGGTTTCCACTTCATCCTGAAAAAAAAGTTAATAAATGTGTGTTGCAGGTAGGACAAAATCTTTATTTTTCTAGGATACTTTGAAAAACAAATAATTGGTAAGCACCTCAGCCTCTATGTTATCCAGCTCCACGCCTTTGTCATTCGCATCTAAAGGTTTATTCAATTCTGCAATGTTGGCACGAGAAGATGAAGTGGTGCAGCTCGAGGCTGGCTACATCCCCATCTGTATAAAGTTTGACAACCGAGTACGTGGGACCAGCAGCCTGAAAGACCCTCACAAAGCATACAACATGTTTTCCGCATATGGCAGAGCGAATCGTTGCTACCAAATCAGCACCCTGCTAGAAATTTGCTAAATTATAGATGCACTAGAACTCTTCACAATTGAATGTGCACATTGCAAAACTACTACGCACGATCCCTTAATTTTTCCAAACCATGTAATTTTGTCATTATAAAAAAAGCAACCCGACACTACAAAACAATCTGTATATTAATAAGTTGAAGTACACAAGACATGTTATTCGAACTACACAGCCCTAGGTTATATTACTCCATTATAACAAGGTGCTCTATGTACATAGGAACAATATTCTACAATGTACCACACATGAAAACAAATCCATAACAAGCTCTAATAACATTTCATGTTCAGCAAAAGAGCACGTTAAATAGCCGCAACAAGCAAAAAAGTATAAAACATGCATGGAGAAAATAACTAAAGTCTATATTTATTTTTCTATAAAATTGGACCTTATCCTCTGCTGCCTGAAGCTGTTGTGCTGTGTAAGCAATAAGTCTTTCCGCATCCTCTCCATACACTACAGCCGAAAGTATTCCAGTGCCATCAGCGATTTCCAAAGGGATCCTAGCTCTAGAGCACATAAAAACCAAGAATAACCGTATAAGCTGAACAAACTATAAAGAGATTACATCTTAATGGTATACATGAACATTAAATGTTACCTAGCTTCTATCATGCTATTTTGACTGCAAGAGCTGCACCTAATGGCTGAGCTCGTTTGCAAGTCAAATTTCTTATGGCAGCTGGCATACGCACTAAACCACAGCGACTGCTGAATATGTGGCAGAGTTACACAACCCTTAATCCATGCTGCCCGAACCTGTGGTACCCCACAATTGTTTTTCATAAGTATCGCAGAAAAGGCAATTAAAACCTAATAAACAATACATCTTGTGTGTTATTCTGAGATGAAATATGAACTAACATTCTTAATGCCACTAAGCATGGTGTGCACCGAGAGAACGTTGTCTGTTGATGGATAATGAATCAGGATAGTGGTGTCTTTGTACGCAGCCCTTCCAATCATATTGTCAATTTCATTTTTGTGCTGGGAATACCTATAAAGAACCACAAACTCATTTTGAATGTTTTTTTTTTTTAAAAAAAATTATTATAAAAGTTTTTAAACTCTTAGTACCAACCATTGCTTAAGCTCAACTGCTGCACCAATGGAGGATTAATTAATATAGCGCATGGAGCTCTAGTGGACAAAGAAATTCCTGCAGGTAAATTTGAGAAATGTTTTCAGGCACAGTAAGAAGACAACAAAAGTGTTAAAGGCAAGGTACACCCTTACAAAAGCACATTATGCATACCATTAAACGTTGTGACTTTAACTCTCAGAGCCAAAACAACACTTGCTGAGTGAATGTTATTTGCAAGTTGCGATCCTTCAGTGGTAGCAAAATCGTTCCAAAGGGTGAACATGATCGGTATTTTTCTGAACAGTGTATTTAAAGAATGAATGTTGGCATAAAGAGGTTTGGCCAAAAAAGGAATTTTTCCACAATGTTTAAAGCAAAAGAAAAACATACTCCTCATTGACAAGGATTATTTCTCTACTGACCGAGTCTTCACCAATCTGTCTGGACGTGAAAGAGTGCACGACTACACCCAGCACATCTACAAAACACACCATAATTGAGCACTTATTCATGAAAAACATGGATGCATTTGAATTGAAATAACAACCGTAAATGCATACAGATAAACTAATATTGCAGAGGAAGCAGGAAAAAAGCAAAAAAGCAAACATACTCTGTAAATTATCAGTGTCAGCAAAAGAGTGGAGTTTTTTGTACTCCTGCAGGTCCACAGAGAAAACCAGTTGGGCAGGCATCTTTTCTTCGCAAGGTTGGATTAAAGTGTTGTTGTTGATTGTCCAAGAATAGATATAATCACCAACCAGATATTTCTTGTCAACCTTTTTTAGTGTGGCACCTGAAACATAGCACCATTTGAATGGAACCAAAAGGGCGGCGTTTGTTCTTATGTTGTTATTGTATGCGACCGCAGAAACCTTATGTTATTGCACTGTTGCGAAGTACAAAATAAGACAATCAATGTGGCCGGAGAGAAAATAGCTACCTCAGCATCTACAAAGAGAAAGCGGCAGTAGGAGATGGACGAATCATGTTGGCTCACAGAGACGTGGCCCTTCTCAACCACCTGAACCAATGCTGTCCACCTCCTAACATGAGGCTGAATTTCCTTGATTGACAGTGTATCCTTCATATCAAAACTAAGGTAAAGCAAGAGTAAATTTTTTTTTCCCAGCTTTAAAAAAAATTAAGAAGGCACATAAAATTGGTATTTAGCTTTTTTTGTATCCATAAGGTCGTAGAATTAGGCAGACACTACCTACGAAGGAACAACTAATTTCATTAAACAAGTAAACTATAAAGGCAAGAACAGATATATTATAGCAAACGGGGATGTCCTCAAAAGAGACGGTTTCCAAAAGGACAAGAAACATTAAAACAAAGCAGACAGGAGCTGAATGATGTTGAAAGTTCAGGGGATCAATTTAAACTAATTAAGTTGGAAATAAACTAGAGTGGAGTACTCTGATGTGTAATATGGAAACACATTGTGGATGCACTTTCATTTGATTTTCCAGTTGTCTGAACACTCATGTTTGGAGATAAAAAAGATATGCTCGTCATAATATTTTGAAATTATTTTTCACAATATTTCAATCAAATTTTAAATATGGATTGAATTTGAGAAACTTTTTCTGCATATTTACGTTTCAGCACATATAAATAAGCTGTCTAAACTTTCGTAGATTTTGACATTTCATTTGGCAAAAGAAATGACAGTTGAAAACTCTTTACATATAAAAAAGGTGATTTTTAACATAAACTGAAATGGTGAAATTATCATTAAAAATGTCATCACTGCTACTTGGAGAGCATCAAAAGAGAATAGACTTGAGTAAAAAGAAATGTAGACTAAAATGAAGGAAAAACACCATAAACTACAACATAATATATGTATAGCCTTCATTTGTCTAGGCTTTTTTGTGCTTTCTAGCATAAAAAACCATAGCATGCAAGAATCATTAACACAAACATAATGGCAAAAGAGCAAAAGCATGTGACATTATGGTACAATATCACACATATTAGAAGTAAAACCACAAATTTATTCCATGAAATTACTCAAATTTACCTTACACAGATAGATAAACAACAGTTCACAATCCACACTAAAATTACTCCGAAAAAAAAAAACCAAAAGAAGAAACCCTTTAAATGAAGAAACAACAGATAGATAAACAACAGTTCAGAATCCACACTAAAATTACATGTCCTTACCAGCCAGCAGCAGAAGCAACAAATTCCCACAAACAAACACCCACTAAACTGCACACTGCATGTAAAAAAGAAGAAAATTAAATTCTGCCACAGCATAAGGACAAAGTATCCAGAATCTGTAGGAATATGTATATATATTTTTGGGGCTAAATTACACATATAACACCTCATCTTGTATTAAACTACTACATACAGACAAGAGAAGGATTATTAATCATATATATTGGTTCATATAAGGGGCCAGCACAAAAAATCCCGCTCTTGTAAACACAAAACAACTAAAAAACAATAAATTGAAGAAATTAACCACCCGACATGAATATTATTTTAAAAAGGCACAACGAAAAAAAGCCAAGAATGAAACAACGAACATTAGCCAAGGAACAAGCATATCAAAGAAAAGTTTTACATATAGAGCCTGAAGAAGGTGAAAAGATAAGGAAAGAAAACCAACGGGAAAATGACAAAGCTCTGAAAATGAACGTGAAAATTACAGAATGTAAATATATATATATATATATATATTTATATATATTTTATTTACTATGANATTAGGGTAAAAAACAGCCGAACGGAAAAGTAGTCGAAGGCCATACCTCAAAAGATTTTTCCTTCCCATCCTCAGCAATTCACGCAGAAATTCAACATATAGACTTATAGCACCCCCATACCGCTAGCGATCAGCCAAAAAATGCCATTATCGAAAATAAAACAAGAAATAGCGCCCTACAAACAGCACGAGAAGAGGGCATCACCCGCACATTTTTTCTTCCTTTCAAGAAGAAATACATAAAGAACTTGAAAATAAACACCAATTTACAACAAAAAAAAGGCATATTGAACAATCAATTCGAAATAAAATTAAAACGAAAATAAACGACAAAGCAAACGAGAACCCCAACCCCAAAAACAATGGAGCCTAAAACCCAAAGCAACAGAACACGCTGAACGGAGCCGATCGAATAGAAGACGGACGTAGTCTAAAGCAGCGCAAGACGATAATCAATGAATAGAAATGAGTCCCTGAACAAATTTCAATCGATTTTTTTCTTTGTTTTTTTTCAAAGCAATTAAACGGTGTCGTTTTTGAAAACAAAAAAAAAAAGTGGCCTCAAACACACATGTACACGTCATGGTGGCCCTTCAATTGGCAAAAATCAGGAACTAAAAAGCAGCTAAAAAAGAAGGGTCGAAACGATGCCGTTTTGACTCAAATGGAGAGCAAACAACTATGTCACGTGTCGGAAAACAAAGGTCTTATGTTGTTTTCTTATAAGAGATGAGATAATCCATTCCCTTCTCATTACTTAGGTATAATCAGTCAAAGAACTCCCTAAACATGCGATAGAAGCTCGAAAAAGGCAGCCTAGATAGGAAAGCTAAAGTAATGACCTACTACTTGACTTTCTCAATTACATCGATCCTAAGCGAATAGGCAACTTCCCTAATTACATGAAGCAGAACAACTATTTAGTAAAGGGCAGCTAGAAAGGAAAGCACGGATCAACAAGCTAGTACGCTTGAACGGCACTAGGGCTAACCTTCCTCTCCTCCGAAGTAGCCGGTAGTGAATTATTAGCACACAAACACGAACGAGCAAGGTTTATTAAAGTCTCAGGAGCAAAGTTTTATTTCTTACCTTTATTTCCAGCTTTCTTTCTCCTATTGCCAGCTTTCATCCTCCATCCTTTCTTTCCAGCTTTATTTCTCCTATTGCCAGCTTTCATCCTCCATCCTTTCTTTCCAGCTTTCTCTGTCTTCTGTCCAGGGACACAAGCACTCCCTTCAACATTTCCTTCCTTTTTTGCTCCCTCGCATCACCTGATACCAGATCTTGATAAGATTAAAAAAACCACATCTTGAGAATAACAAGATTGCAGGAACTTGATAAGATTTCGTTCAACCGATAATAGATTTACAAACAAGATTGCAGGAATCTGAAAAGATTTCATTCAACCGATAATAGATTTACAAGCCGCGAGACTAAATAGCCTCGAATAAAACCAAAGGAGACCACCACAAACGGGGCCTAAACAAGAATTCAAACAACCCAATCAACCTACACTGAAGCGTAACATACTTGATTTCTCCGGTAAATAAACAACACAGACTTAAGAAATAAAAAGAACACCCAGTTCGTGTTTAGCAACAATAACTGAAACATTAAAAGATTTCGGAGACACCACTGAACTAACTTTAATGGAAATTAGGCGGATAAAGCTAGGGCTTTACAGAAATTGTGTATGGAATAAATATATTATATTTGTTCTTGGACTAGGTTCCAAGGCTTAAGTATAAACTCTAAATCATCATGGTAATATTAAATACATAGGCCAAGATCCACAACTATTTAACCTTCTAAATTAATCATGGTAATATTAAATACATAGGCCCAGATCCACAAATATTTAACCTTCTAAATTAACAAAAAAAATATTTTTAACACTAAACAACATACCTCCGCCTCCGCCGGCGGCATCAGCAACGGCTGCGAAAGCGGCGGCGCCGGCACCCGGATGCCACCCCTTGGACGTCAGCCCGCCTGGGTATCAAAACAACAAAGAACTAGAGAGGCCCTTACAGTCATATACTATTAAAAAACAACAGGAAGCATACCTCCGCCGGCAGGGACGGCGACAGCGGCAGCAGGGGCGGCGTCGGCGGCCTGAGCAGCGACGGCGAAAGCGGCAGCGTCGGGGCCTGAGATCTCGTTGTGATTGAGGGGCGGTCTGAGTCAGAGGTTACATATCATAAGAGAACAGAGCATGTAAACAAGAAGTATAAAAGATGGTTTGAGAAACCTTACATCCAGCGACGACGCCTGCGGGTCTCTCCTTGGCCGAAAGCAATAGCCCACCTGAACGTAGATGTATTAAACACAACAGCGTCGACGATATGAAAAAAAAAAAAAAAGAACAGGGTGTAAAAAAGAGGGGGTGAGAAACCTTACCTCTAGCTGGGGTGATGACAGCGCTGACAGGAACGGTGGGTCTCGCCTTGGCCGGCATGAGCAGTAGCGTGCCTAAAGGTACAGGTATTAAACACAGCTACATCGTCGACCATTACGAAATGAAAAAAATAACAGGGTGCAACTTGCCTCTGGCGTGGGTGATGCCGGCGCCGGTGGACGAGATGGCGGCGGCGCGGCGAGATGGAGATCCGACGCTCCATTTTTTTTTTCTTTCAGTACAGACGTATAGTTAGCTTGTATATAGGGGAGTGTATGAATATAAAGGTGAAAAAGTGAAACTCATCCTCCCCTCGTACAATTGGTTTGTTGAATATTCCATTTTTAATTTTATTTTCAATGTATTCTCGTGAAAGAGAAAATGATATATTTTTTTAAACTAATTGGTTTGTTGCAACAAACCAATTGTATGAGGGGAGGACGAGTTTAACTTTTTCACCTTTATATACATACACACTCGCCTATATATAAGCCAACCACACGTCTGTACTGAAACAAAAAAAAAAGAAAAAAAATAGAGCGTCGGATCTCCATCGCGCCACTATCTCGCTGCGCCGCCCCCATCTCGTCCGCCGGCGCCGGCATCACCCGCGCCGGAGGTAAGTTGCAGCCTGTTATTTTTTTCATTTCGTAATGGTCGACGATGTAGCTGTGTTTAATACCTGTACCTTCAGGCGCGCTACTGCTCATGCCGGCCAAGGCAAGACCCGCCGTCACCGTTCCTGTCAGCACTATCATCACCCCAGCTAGAGGTAAGGTTTCTCACCCCCTCTTTTTTACACCCTGTTCTTTTTTTTTTTTTTTTTTTTNGACGTAGACGCTGTTGTGTTTAATACATCTACCTTCAGGTGGGCTACTGCTGTCGGCCAAGGAGAGACCCGCAGGCGTCGTCGTCGCTGGAGGTAAGGTTTCTCAAACCATCTTTTATACTTCTTGATTATATGTTCTGTTCTCTTATGATATGTAACCTCTGACTCAGGCCGCGTCTCAATCACAGCGATATCTCAGGCCTCGACTCCGCCGCTTTCGCCGTCGCTGCTCAAGCTGTCGCCACCGCCCCTGCTGCCGCCGCCGCCGTCCCTGCTGGCGGAGGTATGCTTCCTGTTGTTTTTTAATAATATATAATAAGGGTCTCACTAGTTCCTTGTTGTTTTGATACCCTGTAAATTCAGGCGGGCTGACGTCCAAGGGGTGGCATCCGTGTGCCGGCACCACTGCTGATGCCGCCGAGGCTGAGGTATGTTGTTTAGTGTTAAATATTTTTTTAATGTTAATTTAGAAGGTTAAATATTTGTGGATCTGGGCCTATGTATTTAATATTACCATGATTAATTTAGAAGGTTAAATAGTTGTGGATCTTGGCCTATGTATTTAATATTACCATGATTAATTTAGAGTTTATACTTAAGCCCTGGAGCCCAGCGCACCTAGCCCAAGTATATTTATTCCATACACAATTTCTGGAAAGCCCTAGCCTTGTCCGCCTAATTTCCATTGAAGTTAGTTCAGTGGTGTCTGGAATCTTTTAATGTTTCAGTTATTGTTGCTAAACACGAACTTGGTGTTCTTTTTATTTCTTAAGTCTGTGATGTTTACTTACCGGAGAAATCAAGTATGTTACGCTTCAGTGTAGGTTGATTGGGTTGTTTGAATTCTTGTTTAGGCCCCGTTTGTGGTGGTCTCCCTTGGTTGTATTCGGGGCTATTTAGTCTCGCGGCTTGTAAATCTATTATCGGTTGAATGAAATCTTTTCAGATTCCTGCAATCTTGTTTGTAAATCTATTATCGGTTGAATGATATCTTATCAAGATCTGGTATCACGTGATGTGGGGGAGAAAAAAAAGGAAGAAAAGGCTGAAGGGAGTGCTTGTGTCCCTGGACAGAAGACAGAGAATGGAAAGAAAAGATGGAGGATGAAAGCTGGAAATAGGAGAAAGAAAGCTGGAAAGAAAGGATGGAGGATGAAAGCTGGCAATAGGAGAAAGAAAGCTAGAAAGAAAGGTAAGAAATAAAACCTTGCTCCTGAGACTTTAATAAGCCTTGCTCGTTTGTGTCTGTGTGATAATAATTCACTATCGGCTCCTTCGGAGGAGAGGGTAGTTAGCCCTAGTTCAAGCGTACTAGCTTGCTGATCCATGCTTTTCCGTCTAGCTGCCCTTTACTAAATATATGTTCTAGTTCATGTAGTTAGGGAAGTTGGCCTATTCGCTTAGGATCGATGTAATTGAGAAAGTCAAGTAGTAGGTCATTACTTTCACATTCCTATCTAGGCTGCCTTTTTCGAGCTTCTATCGCATGTTTAGGGAGTTCCTTGACTTATTATACCTAAGGAATGAGAAGGAACATGTTACCTTCCACTATTGCTAGCCCATATGAAGTTTGAGATCGACTGCTAACCCATATTTCAATTTGGAATAGACTTGTCCCTTTCTTTGGAAGTTAGACTGTTAGACCGATCGTAGATTTTTACCAGTTAGAGCTTATCTCATGTAACTGGTTACCTTCCACTATTGCTTGCCTTCCTTCTTGTTTATGTGTTCTGTTCTCTTATCATATGTAACCTCTGACTCAGGCCGCCCCTCAATCACAGCGAGATCTCAGGCCGCCGACGCCGCCCCTGCTGCCGCCGCCGCCGTACCTACTACCTGCCGGCGGAGGTATGATTCCTGTTGTTTTTAATAATATATGACTCTAAGGGTCTCACTAGTTCCTTGTTGTTTTGATACCCTGTAAATTCATGCGGGCTGACGTCCAATGGGTGGCATCCGAGTGCCGGCGCCGCCGCTGCTGCCGCTGCTGATGTCGCCGGCGGAGGCAGAGGTATGTTGTTTAGTGTTAAATATTTTTTTTAGTGTTAATTTAGAAGGTTAAAAATTTGTGAATCTGGGCCTATGTATTTAATACTAGGAATCTCGCACAACCGGCCCATGGAATCCGAAGTGCTTTACATTGAGTTAGAAAATAACAATGACAGAATCTGTTAAAAAGTTCTTTGTGCTTCACCGCAACCATATTCGTCCATTCTCCCAACTCCAATACCCTACTTTGTATCACCATATTTGTCCTTTCTCCAAACTCCAGTAACTTGTTTCTGTATTTGGGATAAATAATTCAATTAGAAAAAGTGAATTCCAAAAGAAAATCTAATGCAATATACATAATAAACTGCAACATAATATAGAAGGTTGAGTTATGCATTTATTTTTAGATAATGAATGAGGAATATTGAAACATCACCAAAAATAACATCATGAACAACATAAAAATGGAGAACCGCTGGATGTTGTCATGAGAACAAACTTAAAATAATTATTTTTAGTGGACTTCTACAAAGATTTACCCAACACTAATTCCACACACTACCTAAAAAAAAGAGAGATGAATCTTGTATAGCGCAAAAGGGGAACCAAGGCAAGGTCGGATGGTTGAAGATATAAGGGTGGTGAGAAAAACCATAATAAATCCAAATGAGTCATTCAAACTTTTGAAAGTTAACAAAACTCACCTTGATAGTCCTTATAGTGTTTTCATTATTCTCTTTATAAGCCTCACGATGCCCTGTCCGTGATACCATCCCATCCAGCCTCCTGGAATTCCAAGACTAGAATAAACTTGCTCTTTGCTTCATCTCTTCGGTCTCATTAGAAAGAATATTGGGCAACTAACTGAGGCTGCGCGGCAAAAAATGTGGAAAACAAAAGGGCGAATTGGCCGAAAACATTACCCTCACTCCCCTTTATTACCGTCCATATTAGTTAACACAAAGAAAATGCCTTTGAGCATTCAAAATCTTCGATGTTGAACTTCCATTCCTAAGTTTCAAAAAGAAAGAAATGTTCACAATTTCTCATGTACAAGCAGTTTCAAGACATTCATGTTACTTAAAATAAGAAAAGAAAAATCTCATTAAATGAAACACTAATATTTCGAACATACATACTATCGCTCTTATCTCAGAAATACATGGATTTTTCTTTTTTGTACTTTTTTTTTTTTTCATTTTCTTTCCTTTCCGATCCCTTACGCGTGTATAATGAATGGGATCAAGAATAAAAGAGTAGTAAGTAATGCTTTAAGACACAAAACTTATCATCCAAGCAAGTTATGTAGTAGCAACCAAAAAAATAACTTGATATAATGTTTAGCATTTCTTTTTATATTTAGAAAAA